AACACCAACTAGATTAATAAATTAATTAGCTTTTCTCACCTGCAACACCAACAAGATTGAAAATCTGAAGAAGAAGAAGAGCTTTTGAAGAGAGCTTGCTGTACGAGATTGGAAATTTGAAGAAGAAGAAGAGCTTCTCTTGCCTCTCCCTTTTGCTGCTGCTACTTTGATGAGTTAGGGCTAGGGCAACATGGGTAAAAAAGTAATCACACTCCTTAATACCAACGGACTAGCTTTGAATACCAACATCAGGGGCCAACAAATTAGCCAATAAATTGAGAAAACAAATCAATATTCAGGAATTCTTTTGATAAAAAAGATGCCTGGATTCTCATGGGATGTTAAAGAACCGACTCATCCATGGCCATTTCCACAGGCTTGGGATTCGTCCGAAAGGTATATTCTGTTATATATATAAATATATATATCAAACCTTCTTTGTATAAACATAGATTTGTAACCATTAATTTCATTTTCATGAAGGTTCGATTAGGCTCTGTTGCAGCATTTGAAACAGTTGATGAACCAGAGTCTCAATGTTGACACCCAAACAAACCCAACACTCAAATAGATCCAACAACCCATAACATTAATCCATCGATCAAAATTCTACAAACCCATAATCGAAATTGCAATTAAAAACACCAAATAATCGAACAAATATGGAGTGAATGTGTGTGTGTGTGTGTGTGTGTGTGTGTGTGTGTGTGTGTGTGAGAGAGAGAGAGAGAGAGAGAGAGAGAAGGGTAGAATCCGAACATACCTCAAGAATCGAACTGATACTTTTTTTGATCGAAGAGAAGAGAACGAAACCCTTCCATCGTCGCCGCCGCCCAAGCAGTCTCGCCGCCGAAGAGAGAGCACTGTTTCCAGGTTGAAATCTCGCCGCTGCCGAAGGGGTCAGAATCATAGGCAAACTGATCGTCTGGATCTTACTCGGCCTCTCAAACTTCATCTCCACATATAAACCCTTCAACAGTCGATCGATCGATAGAGAGGGAGGGGTAAGAAGAGACTAGGGTTTTTTGGTTTTGGGCGGGCGGCGAGGAACAGAGCGGGAATGGAAAAAAAAAATGGGGGGGGGGGGAGGGGGGGAAATCAAAATCTTTTTTTAAAAAAAAATTTTAACAATAATAAAACTGTTTAATTTATTTATTTTTTGCGATAGGGGTTGTCGTCGCAAATTTTTTTTTTATTTTTGTTAAAATAATTTTTAAAAAAAAAATTATTTTATTTTGGTTACTAATTAAGCTTGAAAATTTATTTGTTTTCATTTTTTTTACTAAAAAAAAAAATTATTATTATTTTTTATTTGGTAGAAGTAGGGGTAATATTTAATGAAAAATATTGTACTGGTAGTCGTAGTGGTGAAGTGGCGACCGTGGTAGTAGTGGTGGTAGTGAAATGGCGTTTGCAGTAGTAGTGAAGGTGGTAGAGAAGATGGGTGGTGAGAAGAGAGATAAGTGAGAGACAGATAGAGGAGAGAGAGAGAGAGAGAGACAGAGTGGTGAGCGAGAGAGAGACAAAGTGGTGCTAAAAGTGTATTTTCTTGTAGTGGATCGATAAATTGAGAGGGAGCTCAGTAAATAGAGAAGACGGAAGGGAAATAGTGAGCAACGCGAAACATAATAGGGGAGAGAGAGAGAGAGAGAGAGAGAGAGAGAGAGAGAGAGACAAATGACAGACATGGAGAGAAGAGTGATGAGTGAGAGAGAGAAAGAAAAGAAAGAAAGAAAGATGAAAAATAGGTGAAAGATATATAGAGAGGAGAGAAAGAGTGAAAAGAGATAAACGAGAGAGAGACAGAAAGAGATGAACGAGAGAAGAGAGAGAGAGAGAGAAAAGAGACAGAGATAGAAGATAGATGAAAGAGATAGAGAGAAGGAGGATGGACGAGAGATACAGAGAAAAACAGAGAGGCAGACAGACAAAGAAAAGTGATGAGTGAGAGAGAAGAAAGAGAGAGAGACAGAGACACAGAGAGAATGAGAGAGACGGACAGACAGAGAAGAGTGATGAGTGAGAGAGAGAAGAGAGACAGAGACACATAGAGAAAGGCAGAGACAGACAGAGGAGATGGAGTGGCAGTGGTGGAGGAGAGGTAATGGTAGTAGTAGTGGTAGTAGTGGTAGTGGTAGTGGTAGTGGTAGTTGTGGTAGGGGAGTGGTGGCGATGATGGTAGTAATGGTAATCGTAGAGGTGGAGTGACAACAGTGGTAGTAGTGGTGGTAGTGGAATGACATTTGCAATAGTGGTAAATGTGGTAGAGGAGATGGGTGGTGAGAGGGAGAGATGAGTGAGAAACAGATAGAGAAGAAAGATAGAGAGATAGAGACAAAGTGATGAGCGAGAAAGAGACAAAGTGGTCCTTCAAAGTGCATTTTTTTGTAGTGGATCGATAAGAAAAATGCCCTAGACCTCTAGTGGGAGTGACCCCCACTACCCCCACTGTTTTCTGATTGGTTCAAAAAAATTTATTTATTTATTTATTTTCACTCTTGCTCTCACAGCCCCCCACGTGGAGGTGGGGGTGCTGGGGGTCACCGCCCACTGGGGGTCCCCAACATGGTTGGATCAATAAATCGAGAGGGAGCTCAATAAATAGAGAAGAGATGAGGAAGAGAGTGAGCAAGGCGAACACAGTGAGGGAGAGAGAGACAGACAGACAGACAAACAAATAGACAGGTAGACAGAGAAAGAGAAGAGTGATGAGTGAGAGACAAAGAGAGAAAGAGATAAAGATAGACAAAGAGAGAAAAAGATAGAGAGAGAGTGAGATAGAAAAAGAGAGAGAAACAAGAGATGAACAAGAGATAAACAAAAAGAGAGAGAAAAAAAGCGAAAAGAGATTAACGAGAGAGAGAGACATAGAAAAGAGAGAGAGAGAGAAGAGAGAAAAAAGAGAAAGACAGAGAGATAGAGATAGAGACAAAAAAAAAAGAAACAAAAGATGCTCGAGAGAGAGACAAAGAGAGAGAGAGAGAGAGAGAATAACAAAAAGAGATAAACGAGAGAGAGACAGAGAAAGAAGAGAGATGAGCGAGAGACACAGAGAGAAAGAGAGACAGACAGACAGAGAAGAGTGATGAGTGAGAGAGAGAAAGAGAAGAGAGACAGAGATAGAGACAGAGAGACAGGAAGATGAAAAAATTGATGAAAAGAGAAATGTTATATCAAAAGAGTAAGACGATATCGTTTTTTTCAATTTTTTTTTTTTATGATAGAAAAATACCATTGCATTTATTTAAACCATTTTGTAACTATATATATGAAGTCTCAAAAAGTCACATTTTTTTGCAACGATAAGTTGTGCCGTCTCAAAAAGTCACATTTTTTTTTTGCGAGACGGCAAGTCGTGCCGTCTCAAAAAGTCGTATTTTTTACGACGACAAATTGTGCCGTCTCAAAAGGTCACATTTTTTGCGACGGCAAATGTGCCGTCGCAAAAAGTTTGGTCTCATAAGCCCTTTCTTGTAGTGTTACTTAAAAAGTGTAATTAAAAAATAGTAGTGTATATATAATCACACTTTAATTAAAAAAACGTGATTAAAAAATATATAAATAACCACACTTTAATTAGAATGTGTGATTAAAAAATATATATATAATCACATTTACTTAAAAAGTGTGGTTAAAAAGTAGTAGTGTATATACAATCACACTTTAATTAAAAAGGTGTGATTAAAAAATATATAAATAATCACACTTGTTTAAAAAATGTGATTAAAAAGTAGTAGTGTATATATAATCACACTTTAATTAAAAGGTGTGATTAAAAAATATATAAATAATCACACTTTAATTAGAAGTGTGATTAAAAAGTAGTAACTTAAAAAGTGTGATTAAAAAGTAGTAGTGTATATACAATCACACTTTAATTAAAAAGGTGTGATTAAAAAATATATAAATAATCACACTTATTTAAAAAGTGTGATTAAAAAGTACTAGTGTATATATAATCACACTTTAATTAAAAAAACGTGATTAAAAAATATATAAATAATCACACTTATTTAAAAAGTGTGATTAAAAAGTAATAATGTATATATAATCACACTTTAATTAAAAAAACGTGATTAAAAAATATATAAATAATCACACTTATTTAAAAAGTGTGATTAAAAAGTAATAATGTATATATAATCACACTTTAATTAAAAAAACGTGATTAAAAAATATATAAATAACCACACTTTAATTAGAATGTGTGATTAAAAAATGAGCTGTCAAGACTGAGCAATTGTAGAAAGCAAACGATGAATATCTTTTATTCTGTTTTCGAAAAATATTTTGTCGCAACAGATATTCATCGTTTTCTTTCTACAAGTCACGCGGCTTGTCATCCTCGTCCTTTCGCCGGAGAGACTCCAACATCTCCTCCAGCGAACTCCGAGTTAGAGACGTTGGAGACACAGACATCATCATTGTATTAGGAGAATTTTCAAACCCCCAAATCAACCAGATTTATTACTCAAACACTTGAGAATCGATTTCGAACAATGCCGAGGGCGACATTGCAGAATAACGAGAATTCAAAACCCTAATTCTGATGAATTGGACTCCGAACAAATTAAAACCTAATTTTTGCTGGTGGTGGTGACGACTATAAAGTAGTTTCAACGTTGCATGAAATTGAAATTTTGGGAAACAAAACTAGGAACTTTGTATGAATGAGCTGTCAAGACTGAGCAATTGTAGAAAGCAAACGATGAATATCTTTTATTCTGTTTTCGAAAAATATTTTGTCGCAACAGATATTCATCGTTTTCTTTCTACAAGTCACGCGGCTTGTCATCCTCGTCCTTTCGCCGGAGAGACTCCAACATCTCATCCAGCGAACTCCGAGTTAGAGACGTCGGAGACACAGACAACATCAAACCCCCAAATCAACGAACGACTTCGTTCCTTCTACCAGATTTCGAACTACTATAAGAAGGAATGAAGTCGTTCGTTGATTTGGGGGTTTGATGTTGTCTGTGTCTCCGACGTCTCTAACTCGGAGTTCGCTGGAGGAGATGTTGGAGTCTCTCCAGCAAAAGGACGAGGATGACAAGCCGCGTGACTTGCCGCCGGCGTTGCCCTCTCGGCCCACTTCCAGGGCTCGGCTTCCCGCCGCCAGGCGGTCGTTGCCGGCGAACTTCAATGTTGAGATCGCCATGGCTGCTCCAACGAAGTCGTTGAATCAATCTAGCAAAAAACGAGAGGTTAAACGACCAAGAGTTGGTAGTTTTGGGGGAAAAAAGGACAAAGAGTTTCCCGGTAAATCGCCGTATGTTATTACAGTGCCAGAAGAGAAGGAATGTGAGCAGAGTTGGGAGAAAACAGACACTACAAATCTTGCAGATGAGCCTTCCGCCTCACCGCCGAGGTTTCGGGAATCGGAGTGGAATGATAACGTTGGTTATTTTATTAAGAAGGTAAAAACTTTGATCAAATTGTGTTCTTTTGTGACATTATCTATTTTCTATTGTCCCAAAGATCTTCATTCAAGCTGCTGCAGCAGAACCCATAGTTGAAATCAAGTTCTTGGGTAGAATATTCTTTCTTTTTTGTTTTTTCAAAGTCCCTTTTTTTTTTTTTTTGATGAGTTTCAATTTCATCTTTGTAATTTGTTGATTTAATTTCATGATAATTGTGGGGACTTAAGTTCCTTGTGGGCATAAATTGTGGGGATTTAATTTCATCTTTGTAATTTCATGTAATTTGTGGGGATTTGTTTAATTTCATGTAATTTGTTTAATTTCATGTAATTTGTTGATTTAATTTGATGATAATTGTGGGGATTTAATTTCATCTTTGTAATTTGTTTTGGGTTATCTTCATAAACTTGAACAAAAATGGTCAAATCAAACAAAAGAAAAAAAGAAAAAATTGAAATAGAAATCATTCTTGACGTTTGACTAAGAAATTCACCTAATCAAATGTTTTATCTGGAGGAGTATTCAGTTACATGAACTCAGAACTTGAAAGAAAATTCTATGTTAACCTGCTGAGCTTTTGCAGCTGTAAAATGTAGTTATTTCTAATTCAAGCAATATTTTCCCTGAAAATTGTTTTCTCTGATGTTGTATGATGCTGTTTCATAGATTGCTGCATTAGAGGATACGAGAAAACAAGTTCTGCAAGGCACACTTGAGGTGCAGAAACGATTTCGTGGTCATCGGGCTCGTCGTGACTTCCACGAACTCAAGAAAGGAGTAACAACACTGCAATCATGTAAGATATGTATAGTTTATTTATTTATATTTTTTAAGGATTTTGTTTTTTCCACGCAGAAGAGGTATTTTAGTGGTTTTGTAGTCTCATTATTTTCATGATGTTTGTTAGCTCATTAAACTTTTTGGACAATCTATGGCTTAATGTGGTATCAGAACTCTGGTTCAAGGAGGCCCTAGGTTCAAGTCTTGTTACTCTTGTAATGTGTTTGTTCTCCCATTATGTCTGTTAATTGTAAACTATATTATGTGGGTTTTTGGGAAGTGGCTAGTTTAGAGACTTTTTGGCTTTTTGACTATTTTAGTAGGCTATTTTAGTTTTTGTGTTTGGGAAGATGAGATGAATTTTTATTTGAGTTGTTGTATTGAAAAATGTGTTGAAATGATGTTTGAAGTTAAAATAACAAATTTATCCCTAACCTCACATTTTTTAAAATTAATGTAAAGGGGCAAAATCATCATTTACCAATAATGGAACAACTTGTCAATGTGGCTGTGGTAGGCTGTGCCTATACTGTCACTGTGACAGGCCACTGCTGAGCTATATATATATATATTTTAATATGAAGTATTTGTTTAGGAGCTTTTTGGCTTTTTTTTATTTGAGGCTATTTTAGCCTCAAACTCAGCTTCCCAAACACCCCCTATGTGTGTGCTTGTAGAGTATTTGCCCCTCCATGTGTGAGACAAGGTTGCACACTAGGGGAAGTATTAGATTGCTTAATATAATTGTTGGGCTCATTTCCCAACAACTTAAGCTTTTGGACAATTAGTAACCTAAAAGTTTACATGAACCTGTGTTCCATTTTAGGTTGATAGAACAGGTAGCGATAGAACAGATAGCAGCTCTTTGAAACCTTACTAAACTTTTGTCTTGAAACATGTTTAGGCTTTGAAGTTCCAAATACAAGTCCTAGATTGAAGTCTACACTTTCAATGATATCTTAATTAGATTGGATTCAGAGAAACCTGTTTACTATCACAGGGGTTTCAATTATGTAATAAAAGGTAATTTAATCTTGCAGTTATCCGTGGTGAGAAAGCTAGGAGGGAGTATTATTTATTGATAAAGTTGAGAATGCTGGCTGCTCGCAAGACACTAGAAGAGCAGCTGAGGGCAATTATCTGTTTACAATCTGGTAATTTATAATATTCATTGGACATGTCACTGGCTACTTCATTGTTAAAAATTTTCCTATTCTTGTGGTCTCTTTCTGCAGTAATTCGTGGTTGGTTGGCAAGAAGGCATTCTAATTACCTGCAGAAATTGAAAAATTCTATTCCTGATAATACAAAACAAAAGCATGGGAGGAAAATTTCTGAAGTCAAGGTACTCTTATACTGTGAAAGTTCACAACCCCCCCTTTTTCTGTTACTGATGGCTGTTAATTCTGGACAACCGGTGTCAGTACTTCTCCTATGCATAATAAGTTGGACCACAGCACCTGTTCTAGTCTCCATTTCCTAGCACTATTACTTTCTATATTTGGTGTGGTTAACAATTTTTTTTTTTACTTTTAAGAGAGCTTGAAATATCAGACTATGGGGACTTTTGAGTTTTGCCAACTCATCTTCATATGAGGCTCCTCCCCTCGCTTTCTCTCTCCATGGTGTGTGTGTGTGCAGGTCTGTGTACTTTTGATGGGGCTGTGGTTCATTTCCATATTAATGCTATGGAGATCATATGATTAGGAGTTTGTCCTTATGTGCAGCATGCCTTCTTTTGGTTAGCTCGTCCTATATATCCCTTTATGACTTTCGTGAAAGTGGCACTAAAATGCATTTGTTGTCATAAAATTTCACAAAATTACCGGTATTGGTTACTGTCTACAATAAGTAAATAAATGAGTATTTTGTCTCTAGATTGCCAGCCACATCTTAGCTTAAGCTTATATTATCATTATTAAAACTATGAACTTGCACGTGTAAATATTGTTCTGTTAATGTAATACTTGTTAACTGCACAGCCGAGCCTAATGAGTAGTCTTACAAGTTGAAAGAAAGTTGTAAGGAACACTATCAGTACTCTGGAAATGTTAGATAAATGCACACGGATGCCTTCTTCTGAGTATAGAAAGTCTGAGAACATAGTCATGATGGAAAATCAAGTAATGTTTCCTTTTTAAATTTTTTGGACATTGAGCAGGAGGTATCGCAAGCACCTGTTCTGCCTTCAGTTTTACAAGAGCTTCAGAGGCGTGTTGCAAAGGCAGAAGCCACTCTAGGGCAAAAGGAACAGGAAAATGCAGCATTAAGGGAGTAACTAGAGCAAGTCAAGGCAAGATGGTCAGAATATGAGACAAAGATGAATCCATGGAGGCCATGTGGCATAAGGAGATGGTGTCTTTTCAAGTAAGTTTGCATGTTTATGAATGCATGTGGATAGAACTTTATACGTATATTATTATGGTCAGCCAAATAAATACAAAAAAAAAATTGCTGGGACAAAGTAATAATTGGGAAAAAGTGCAAATTGGATTGCCTTGGCTCATTCAGTTCAATTAGTCAATGGATCTGCTGCACATAAACTATCATTGGTGGATCTTGATCATTATCTGAGGCTGACATTGCATCTGTCGACTGTGTCATGTGATAACTGAAAACTCCTTCCTTTATTTAAATTTGTATAGATGCAAAGAAAGCACTGAGAACTATACTAGGATTTATTAGTTTTATATATATATATATATATATGTATATATATGTACATATATATATAAAGAAAAAGAAGAAAAAAAGAAGCTATACTAGAACCAAGATCTTACGAAGAAAGAGGGCATAAGACTTACTAATCAGTGAGTGATATTGAGGTTTTTCTGTAACATTGACCTGGTTTTAGCTGATCTCTAGCTACCAGATAGGCTCTAAATTCTCTTTAGTATTGGCATGATGTGCCTCTAATTCCTTACTGGACTATTATTTGATGTAAATTTAATGGTTATTAGACTTTTCCATTTGTAGAAACAAATAAATTTCTTGGGTTATGACCACTTCTTGATGGCAGATTGAATTCTGATTAAGTTTTGAGAAGGGAAAAGAATTCTAAAGTTGACAAAATTCCATTAACTGGAGACGGCATAAATACACAGTTGTTTTATCTATTCTATTTTGTACAAGTTGCTGATCTAATCTGGAGGCATCAAAAAGAAAAAAAAAAGCTTTTGTATGAACTCCCTCAGACCAGTTGTAGCCAAATATTTGGGAATTTCGTGCCACACAACTGAATTTCTGATGTGCCTAAATATAAATTGTTGTAATATTTTTACTTCAGGTGAATCTGGATGCTGTCAAGAGGAGTCTTGCTACTGATAACACTGCAATTCAACCTGGGAGGGTAGATGGTTTCGCTTCGCCCCACTATTATGATTCTGAGGAAACCATGTCCATGGGAGCACAAACTACCGGTGGAAACACGCCCATCAAGGTTTCACATATTGGTAGAGATGTCGGTGCTGGACGAGTCGGTCATCTAGTGAAGGAGTTTGAGCAACGGAAGCAGGATTTTGATGAAGAGGCCAAAGGCATTGCTGTGGTCAAATCAGGGCATCCTATTTACGAGCTTCGGAAGCTGAAACTTAGGTTTGAGACGTGAAAGAAAGAGTACAAGTCTCATTTAACTTCATCATGAAATTGATCTTTGGTTCGGGAGATCATTTCGGAGCTACATGTTTAATTTCTCTTTGCTGTGCAAGTGTTTGTGGTAGTAGTGTGGTTGCAGTAGTAAGATTCTAGTTTGTCTTGTTCGATTCCTAAAATATTTTTTTGCTTATTAAAGGTTGACAACTTTTTTCTGTCAGAATTAGCTTATTTTCTGTGGTGGAAAATATTTTTAGTTAATTTACTCAAATGCAATAAAATGCAACAAGTATTTTGGAAAAATATTTTTTATCGAAATAAATGGATTGTAAATTTTTAAATTACATAATTGCACAAGGTAAGCCGTTTGAACATTTTAATCCAACAAAGTGGTAACTATAAAATGTACCTAGAAAAAAAAAAAAACCATTTTCATACATTAACACAACACAAGATCAATGATTATCATGAATTTATGATCTGGGTACAAACTTGGTGGCATAGACCCAAGCATTGTTGGCCACAGGATTGTCAAGGTGGTCCAACAGGTTCCCAAGTGGGCCTTTACTAGTGACAATAACTTGGACAAAGAAACCAAACATTGAGAACACGGCTAGCCTGTCATTCTTGATTTCCTTCACCTTGAGCTCGGCAAAGGTGACCGGGTCATCGGCAAGGCCCAGTGGGTCAAAGTACTGTCCACCGGGGAACAGGTTGTTTCCCTTTCCGACTCCAGGAAGGCCGTTAATGCGAAAGCCCTCAACAAGGCCCATAAGAACCACTTGGAAACCCAAAACTGCCAGGATGCTTTGGGCATGGACAAGATTTGGATTGCCCAAGTAGTCTAGGCCACCTTCGGAGAAGATTTGGGCTCCAGCTTTGAACCAAACAGGCTCTTTGAAATCCACTTTGACCCATTTTTCAAGGACTTCTGGGGTGATGCAACCTAGGGCTCCCAACATGGCCCATCTTCCGTGAATGACTTGAAAGTTAAGTAACAATTATGTTATGGTCTGTTTGGCTCTTAGGAAACAGAAAAGAGAAGGGATTTCGTTAAAAAAAAAAAAAAAACTTATATTTCGTTTATTTTTTCCGTCCTATTGAAAAAAAGTTACACGTTTAGATTATTGAGATATAAGGAGAAGGGATGTTTTTAACTTCATAGTTTAGATTATTAGCTTATAGTTGCACCAAATGGGATTATAGTAGTTATTTGTTTATATTTTTGGTAAATAAGATAGAGAATGCCAATGCACTTTCCATTGCCTAGTTGATTCATTTCAAAACCAAACTTTCAAGTTCAATGGAGAAATTAACAACTATATCAGCAGATTTACCTCAAGAGCCCTGTTCCTGGCAAAAGCTTCAGGATCAGCACACAAACCAGCAGTGTCCCATCCATAATCGCCGGGAAATTCTTCAGTCAGATACGACGGAGTCTGAGTTGAAAAGGGTCCCAAGTACTTCACCCGGTCCGGCCTGTACCATAATTCATTCCCCTGTTCACACCACAACCATTAACCCACAACTTTTCTCACCTTACAAACACAAGAAAATATGAGAGAGAGAGAGAGAGAGAGAGAGAGATGCACCATGGTGAATTTGCCAGTGCCCATAGAGACAACATCTCTGAGAGGGTTGGCATTTGCTCCCTTGGTTTGACCCAGAAATGGAGTGGGTCTGAGGACATTGCTAGTGCTGGTTGCAGTTGACATTGTTGCCATGGTTTTTCAAAGCTTAGAATTGAGTTTAAAACTGTTTTCTTTTTCTTGTATTACCATCTACATTATATGTATGTGTGTGTGTCTGTGTGTGTGTGTTTGTGCAGGAAATGAGAATCAAAGATGGGTGGTTAAGATTAGATGAATGGAAGTTGTGGTGGTGACAAGCTCAGTCTTACCACTTTCTCATCAACCAATCACAAGGCTTCAAAAGATTTTTAAGTATCTCCATTTCATATCCTTCTATCCACAATTCATCTCTGTTGTCACACTTCTATATAGTTACAGTGGGTAATGTAGGACTCTCTCTGATGGACAGGAATTGTGACTGTATTAGGATATACAGCTGGAGATGTATCATTCTTGTGGTCCATCCTTGAATTCAAATGTATTGTTTGGTTCTTGTTGTTCAGTGAGCTCAGACCAAATAAAATAATCTAACAAATAAAAGCACTGTGATTCTTTCTAGTAATGCCAATTTGTGTATTTATTTTTTCTTTAGGATAATGTTTTATCTTTTAGTCTTAAATCTCGTAAATACTAAAAAGATTATGTTATTAAAAAAAATGCCCCCTTTCCCCCTCCCCTAAAAAAAAAGCAATAGTACATTTCAACAGTTTTTATAGAATAGGATTCCTCAACAGAGATATCAACACTAAAGAAACCAAAACCATAGCCTGTCTAACAAAGTTTCACCAATTTCATCCCTTCCACAAGGTCTGTGAAATGACTGCTTTTTTCAATCTTAAGGTGATAAAAATTGCGCTCCAAAAACTTTTCATCTTCTATTTCTCAAGCATTCCTACAAGTTGAGATCTCCAGTTGACCTCCGTTGCTGCTGGTACTAACACAAAAATATGATCAACTGGCTGACTGCTAAAGAAGCTAGTGGTAAATTAATCATTGGCTCCTGCTAGCTTATTGAGGATGTAAGACCAGAGACTCAGGACAGCTAACGTTTGAGCAATCTGTGTAGTGACTCTAAATTTGACAATTTCTCGTTGTTTGTTTGTTCTTAGCACCCAGCACTAACATGTTCAATGAGAGTTCCCTGCAGAAATGCTGCATAGCCTGTGATTTTGAAGGCCAAAATAGGTTATTTTATAGCTAAAATCTATAAATTCTTAGTAAATTTATCAACACAAAACAATTAACAAGAGTTGGCTGTCATGCTTGTTTCCATATCAAATACAATCAGAGTACTTCCAAATATGAAGTGAATAAATTTTTCAAAGATCATAATCATTCCATAATAGGGCCTCTTGGTGTTCAATTTCTTTGCTCATACCGGAATTTTATGAGTGCTGACAAGGCACAAGGCAATGTAATGCATCGTATTGGTATGAGGACAAGTCACATTATGGACTTTGCTGCACAACAAGTAGGTGGCTATGAGAATGTTGGGTTCATACAAAAGGACATGTACAACCATTTTGGGACTAAGCATAAAGCACAAGTTGTCAATGGCGACGCAAAAGGTGTTTTAGCTTACGTATGTGGTAAAGCAGAGCAGGATCCAATGTTTTATTATAAATATGATGTAAATGAAGAAAATCAATTAAATAATTTGTTTTGGACGACAGTGGATCTCGAACACATTATTTGTGTTTTGGCGATGTGTTGATGTTTGATACTACGTATTGGACAAACAAGTGGAGCGTAGATATATATTGCGAGTGTACTATATGGGCTGAAGTATACCTCCATGGACATTTTTTTGCTGGTGCAAAAAGCACGCAACGTTGTAAGAGTATGAATGCATTTTTTAATCGATTCCTAAAGATGCGCGTAAGGCTCTTTGAATTTGTAAGAGCATATGATAGAGTACTTGCAAGACTTCGCCATAACGAGGCTAAGGCACAATCCAAAACTGAGAATACCACTACTATTCTTTCTACATGTATGAAGAGGATTGAAAGACATGCAGCTAATATATTTACTCGTGCCATATTTTAGAAATTTTGTGAACAAATAAAATCCGAGCAAGTGTTATTTATGTCGGGAAAAATTAATGTAGAAGATGTTCACATATACTATTTGTTTTGTTGTTCAAATTGTGAAATTAATTAAATAGATTTATGAAGAAAACAAAATTATATACCAAGAACATATGCTGATAATTACAATTAAATTTCAACAGAAATACACAAAACAATAAAGGGGTAAAGGGGTAAAGAGACGAAACCGAAGCCTGCACGGAAGCAGTTTCCTTAAAACAGATTTCGCCACCTCAAGGGTCGAGTGCTTGAGGAATCTCGGCGTCAGTCTCCCAGGATACGACGGTCAAAAACCAGCTACGGCAGAAGCACTCTCTGTGTAGCTTAGCGAACAAAAACAGTGGCAGCACTCTCTCACAGTAAAAACTTTCTGGCAAACTGACTAAAGAATGGAAGAAACAATTTATTTTATACATGTATAGGGGAGAGAGGAGAAGCCTGCAGCCTTTATGGCTGGTCACTAATGCACCATTAACCTCTGCAATAAAGGCAGGAGTTACAAACCCAATTAATACACTTTTAAACTCTGCAATAAAGGCAGGAGTTACAAACCCAATTAATGCACTATTAAATTCTGCAATAAAAGCAGAAGTTACAAACCCTATTAACTCTTTCATGAAGCTAACTTCATGGGGCAATTTCTCATTTAATTTTCAATGGTTTTGGTCATTCTATTTGTAGTGTAAAGATCTCATTGCAAAGTATCTAGACCCACTTGGACCCAACACAATAGATGGTTGGCACCCACTTTAATATGTAATTCAAGTCACCAAAAAACCATTATTTCCAACAATCCCCCACATAAATAAAAATTGACCGAAAGACTCAACAAACGGACATCGTTCAACAATAATGACTCAAAGAGAGAGTACACCGAACTAACCCCGACATCAAAGAAGGCAGCTTTTGGCTTTGAACCTCTCCCAGTGAAAACCTATCGAGTTTACTGGCTGATCAGTGAATAAGACATCTTGAACTGCTCTGCCGTTTATGTAAACTGAGACAATAGATCACACACGGGAATTACTCCTACCACCATTTTGTTCTCACTGGTGTGCCCTGTATGGCCCTGGACACTAGCTTGGTTCAGCGAGTGGTTTCAAAGAATCTTGGCGTGCCCAATTCTTCTAGAAGCGGCCCCACTTCAAACTCACATAGGTGACTCTACTTGAGTATCCTACTATACTCAACTCAACAGCTTAACACACTAGAGTCATTAAAAGCTCAGCTTAACCTCTACACTTGCAGGTATCACTGATAGAAGGAATGGCTGGAGGTTTAACCTCCTCAGTGACATACCACCGTTACACGCAATTAGGTTGTCCCATTGAACCTAGATCTTGGGATCTCCAGTCAACTAGGTTGGGTTTCCATTCCGGTAACTTCCAAAGGCCTCAACCCCATTCCTTTTGACGACGTTTCGACTAACACTTGATTTAATCCTTTGGTTAGCGGATCCGCAATGTTGTCCTTAGACTTTACATAGTATAAAGAGACAACTCCATTCGAGAGTAGTTGTCGTATGGAATTATGTCTAGACTTTCCATTATACATATTACTCTGTGCCCTACCAATTGCAGATTGACTATCCCAATGAATACAAATAGCTGGCACAGGTTCAGACCAACGTGGAATATCTTCATAGAAATGGCGTAGCCATTCAGCTTTTTCTGTTGCTTTATCTAAAGCAATAAACTCTGATTCCGTCGTTGATCCAGATATACACGTTTGCTTGGAAGATTTCCAAGACACGGCTACCCCACTAAGAGTGAACACATATCCACTAGTGGACTTTGAGTCCTTTATATCTGATATCCAATTTGTATCACTATAGCCTTCAAGCACCACTGGATATCGAGTATAATGCAACCCATAATCCCGAGTGTAGCGTAAATACCTTAACACCCGCACAATGCCCTTCCAATGAGAAGCATCGGGATTACTTGTGTATCTACTAAGCCGGCTAACTGAGTAAGCTATATTTGGCCTAGTATAACTCATCAGATACATTAAACTTCCAATTACCCGAGAATATTCTAACTGAGAGACACTTTCTTTATTATTCTTGGTAAAATGTAGACTTAAGTCTACAGGTGTTGATGACACACTCGTATCTGATCCACTAAACTTCTCAAGTATCTTATCAACATAATGAAACTGAGATAGTACAATTCCGCTAGAGATTTTGGTAATCTTAATTCCCAGAATAACATCTGCAATACCCATATCCTTTATGTCAAACTTAGAGTTTAACAACTTCTTGGTAGTTTTGATCATTTCATCCTTACTACCTATAATGAGCATATCATCAACATATAGACACAAAATGACATAACCTCTGTCAGTGTCTTTGACATAAACACACTTGTCACATTCGTTGATTCTAAACCCATTTGACAACATTGCGCTGCCAAACTTCTCATGCCATTGTTTAGGCGCTTGCTTCAAACCATACAAAGATTTGACAAGTTTACAAACTTTCCTGCTTTGCCCTGGAGCTGAAAATCCTTCAGGTTGCTCCATGTAGATTTCTTCATTCAAATCTCCATTTAAGAAAGCTGTCTTTACATCCATCTGGTGAATTTCTAGATTGCACAAAGTAGCAATCGCAATCACCATCCGAATAGATGTTATCCTAGTAACAGGTGAGTACGTATCAAAGTAATCCAGGCCTTCTCGTTGCCTGTACCCTTTGATAACGAGGCTCACCTTATACTTGTCAATAGACCCATCGGCCTTCATCTTTCTTTTAAAAATCCATTTGCAGCCTAAAGGCTTACAACCTGGAGGTAAATCTACCAACTCCCAGGTGTGGTTCTGTAAGATGGAGTCAATCTCACTTTTGATCGCTTCTTTCCATAATGGACTCTCAGGAGAAGTCACAGCTTCGTGGAAAGTTTGAGGTTCGTTCTCAACCATATAAGTCAAGAAGTCTGGACCAAAAGATTTTGCTGAGCTCTTGGAACAAAACACACTATAGAGTGAGTTTGCCAAGCTGTTGAACACATAGTTCCGGCAAAGATAGTCTGTCTGCTTCCATGTGTCAAGCGCC